TCTGTCTGTCTGTATATCTGTCTATCCATCTGTTTATTTGTCTGTCTGTCTGTCTGTAATCTAACATTTATGATTCACCCAAAAATGTAATTCATTAATCTTCTTTTGTCTTTAAGTCTAACAGGTTTTCATTTGGGTGAACTTTGCCTTTAATACTGTGTAGATTTTAAAGTACTGCAGATAATCACAGATGTGCTGAAACTCAGTATCACCGCACACTTTTATTGAATTTATACAAAATTCTGTAACCAAGAAGCAATAGTAACTTAAACTTGAGTTAATTAGTGTAATTAGTGATTGATGTGGAAATGAAAAGTGTCCCAGTGTTTTATAGTACAACACTATAATTATCAACAGTCTTGGAACATCTAATCAGGTTAGAGGACATGAGCATGTAGAATTGTCATAAATTTCAAAGAGCACAAATGAGACTACAAATAATCTCATATCAGCTCCTGTTACCAGATTACTTACTGCAGGCCTAAAGATGTCCCTTCAGTTTCTCATTTCATCTTTTGTAACACTTCTGATAAATTACGTTTTGAAACGTTGCCCTGTAATCAAGGGAGTAGAGCTCATTCAGTGGAGGCTCTCAAATGTAACCGTACCTCGGCCCCCAAAGCTGACCCACTTCTCCCGCGTGAGAGATAAAGGGCTGGGGGAGAGAAGCACAGTGCCGCCAGAAGCCCTGTCCTCCTTACCATCACTCCCACGGCTCACCAAGATCGTCCCGTTCCCAGTGCAACACCAGCACCACGCCGCCCCGCCATGCCCCACGCTCTCTCACACAGAGTGCCACTGTCTGCCTAGTGACTGCCCCCTTCCATTGCATAACGCAACATCTATGAAGTCTCTTTTTTTCTCTTTTTTTGCTATTTTCTCTCGGGGACGGCATCGGTTATGTATTTTCATAGAAGGAGTCTGCTTAGGAAATGTTTGAAGAGAAAAAGGAATAGGGTGGGGGTTCGTTCTGGCCGGCGGTTTGGCTGTCACCAGAGCATGCACAAGGAGAAAAGCCTGGGAAAGAGTGTGGCGGAGTGGTTGAAATCTCAGGTCATGATGATTTAGCCAAAGAGCATGTGATTGGTAGGACCTATTGAACAGCGGCCCACGGCCATACCTTTGAATCAGTCTTCTGAAGTCCTGGCCTGCTGTCACGTTTCAACGGTGGTACTTGTAAAAAGGAGCGTGGATCAGAGTCCAAACCCCCCGTGCTGGCCGCCTTAAAGGGTATTCAGGAGGGTTTTAGGGGTCTGAGGGCCAACTTTTATCCTTAAGCTGGTCGAGCGTTT